TGCAGTTTCCCATGTGGAATACTCTTCCTTCAGATGTTTACATGGACATTCTCTGTGCACTTGAACCATGTACTAAGTGAAGACTTAATATTAGATTTTAGTCCGTCTGTAGTTGCAAAAGGTTTTATGCCTTCTTTGTACTTAGATTCTATGTTGGCCAAACACGGGATGATGTGTTTCAGCTCCTCAGTTTACATGTGTAAGTGACACAGTCACGTGCAGGGTGGTGGCATTTCAGTGACGGAGGGACAGCATGTTCCTGGGTGTTCCCTTACGACAGTAATGGGTGGAAGAGCTCCTAGCACCTAGTGACATCACAGCGTCATAACCTTGTAGTGTGGCGCATTTTGGGTTGGTGATGATGCTGGTTTAGACAAACCCCTGCTGCCAGTCATGGGACAGTACATCGCATGCAGTTTTGTAAAGTAATGATGCAGTCGTGTGCTGCAGAGCCACGTTTCAGTCAGCGACAGACCACAGACAGGACGGTGGCCTTCCGGGATTACACCACAGTTTCACTGGACCTTTTCTGTGTTTGGATACATAAATACATACTATTATATTACAGTTGGTGCAGTATTTGGTACAGGTTTGTAGCCTTGGAGGAATAGGCCATACCATCTAGATTTGTGTAAGTACATGCTTCATCATTCACATGGTAAAAGTCTCAGAGTGTATCACTATAATTAAGCAACACATACGTACATATATGAGTGCATATGGTATGTATCATTTATATATATCGTGTATATTATTATATTACAGCCCTCCCCCAACTCTCAGCAAATTTCTCTGATATTATTGGTGACTCTTGAACAACACAAGTTTGGAACTGCACAGGATTTTCTTTTTCAGTAAATATATATATATGTTTTTTTTTTTTGTGAGACAGAGTCTCAAGCTCTTGCACTGGTTAGTGTGCAATGGTGTCATAGCTCACAGCACCCTCCAACTCTTGGGCTCAAGTGATCCTCTTGCCTCAGTTTTCCTGTTTTTAGTAGAGACAAGGTCTTGTTCTTGCTCAGGCTGGTGTTGAACTCGTGAGCTCAAGCAGTCCACCTGCCTTGGCCTCCTAGAGTGCTAGGATTACAGGCGCGAGCCACCACGCCTGGCCAGTTTGAACAATCTCCAAGATAAGCTTCATAGCCTAAAAATATAGAAAAAATTAAGAAAAGTTATGTCTGTGTCATCAATGCATAAAATATGTATAAAAGTGAGTTCATTATTTACTACCATGAAATATATACAGATATATTATAAAAAGTTAAAATTCATCCAAACTAATGCACACATACACTTAGATTGTACAGCACACCATTTGCAGTTGAGAGGAATGTAAACAAATGTTAATATGTAGTATTACACAATAACTGCATAAGTTTAGCTAGTATATACCGTACTGCTGTAGTGATTTCGCAGATACCGTCTGTTGCTGTTACAGTGACCTCCAGTGTCCCAACTGTGGAAGCCCCAAGTGATGCCGGCCTCCTTGTAAGCAGTTTGTCTCTCCAGTAAATTGTGTATGGCAGTGGAAATGATCTCCTGTAGAGCTCGTGTATTTTTTATTGTGTTTAGGGCAATACTGAAACTTCGGAGAACACTAGGGGACCCATACAGAGTGCCACTAGTAATGCTGGAAGTGCTCCCAAGAAGCAGACAAAAGTCATGACATTTCAAGAGAAAGTCGCGTTGCCTGGTATGTCCTGTGGATCGGCCTCTTCAGCTGCTGCCTATAATGTCAGACAGATTCATCTTAGG